CGGCTTGAAGTTCGGATGTAGATCTATCACTGTACGAATTAATTTGAAAGTTTTGTGATTTTTGTGCCGATTATAGTACAGTGAAGGCGACGTTTTGTCGTTGGGGTTAAATTAAGGGTTCCGGTTGGTCTGAACTGAGTTAAATCAAAGTTGGTATTTCGGTGGCTGGTTTATACCGAAGGCGATGACTGATCATCTAAATTTGGTGTCAGGTTTGTAAACCTGGACAGACACAACTAGCGGCACTTCACCTCAAGCATCAGCTACCTGCCCTCGGATCGTCTGTCTCGGTATTAATGGTTGGGGTTACTACCTGGCTGCTGAGCGTCAGTGCTAGCTAGACAAGCTTGTCCTGGGTGATCGCCAGGTGAGAAGGGAGTTATCCCAGTTCTACCCCCTCGCATGCCTCGGGTTATGCGCAACTAATTGATTTGTTGATATTTTGTTGGGCCGTAGCGTCGTTGGCTGTGACTTTCGCCGTGCTCAAGTCTGTGCGGATAGTTGGGTGACTCTGTAAGATTTTTCTCTCCCCCCCCCCATTTCCGCCCCAACCCTCTCTTAGTTGTTTCTCTGTATTTTCCCCCATTTAATACACTTACTAAGTGACTGTTTAATGTGTATATATTACTATGTGGATGTACATTTCTTTGCTAAAAAAGAAAGGAAATCTATTACGTCCTACAAGTTTCCTCTAATCCTGTCGAAAAATGGGGTCTTCACTTGGGCATAGCCATGGAAATTTAAGGATCTGGGTATCCTTGAAGAGAAAGGAGACTGAAAGTCCGGGTCCGTCATATGTCGGCGCACCAATCTGCTCCTTATCAGACCAGGCCACTCACTAATTAATCACTCTCTCATTCATCTCCTGATTTGTGTTGCCGGAGGAACCGAGCGAAACAGATTTTGGTTTCGAGATTTTTCTCATGTAATGGCGCAGTTTGTCTGTTGTCCCGTCGAGGAGTTCTCTTGTGTCGTCTACTATTTCGACTGCCTGCAGAAGTGCCCTACGTGATGGTTTCTGCAAGACTTTTGGACCAGATCAAATCAAATTAAATCAACCTGTTTGTACCTGTTATCGTCAACACCAACCCACAAATGCATGAACCATTTACGTTTTGAGAAAATAGTAATTGAAAAAAGAGAGATCACAAGTCTTCTTTTTTTGTGGTAATTAAAGTGTTTTACTGCGCTCACAAGTGCATAACGTCATATGAACGTGCGGGACACAGTAAACATTTTCAGTTGGTAGGAAATTTTGAATTTTGCCTGAATGGCGGCCGAAGCCTATTCTTATCGATTTTTTGACCACCAAGGGATCTTTAATGTGTGCAATTTGCACATGGGACCTCCGAGATTTTTTGCTCTTTTCCGAGATCAGGGGTGTGGCTGAAAATAGAAAGGCTGTGGAAAGAGTCTGGAGCCCAAAGGGGGGGGCAAAGGAGGTGATGGGGCAGGGGCAGAAAGTGGAAACGAAAGCAGACGACAGTACATTGTTAAAGAGCAGGAAAGGACGTGAAAGGAGACAATCTT